AAACCACAGGATAACAGAAAACCCCAAATAATGGAGAGAAAATGGCCAAAATCCCGGCCAGGGTGACATGTCCATGACTCTTCTGGACAAGCCTAAATAAGGGAGAAAGGGAGTAGTAATGGGGGGGGGGTCCTGTACTTCCCTCCTTTTCTAGAATATCTCATTATTATTCTTATTTTTTTGAGACAGGGTCTCACCTGCCTCTGTCACCCAGGCTGGAGTGCAATTGTGGCTTACTGCAGTCTTGAACTCCCAGGCTCAAGCAATCCTTCTGGCTCAGCCTCCCAAGTAGCTAGGACTGCAGGCATTCTCCATGACGTGTGACTAATTTTTGTTCATTTTTTTAATAGAGATGGAGTCTCACTATGTTGCCCAGGCTGGTCTCAAACTCCTGGGCTCAAGCGATCCACCCACCTTGGCCTCCAAAAGTGCTGGGATTACAGGCGTGAGGCACCGTGCCCGGCCAGAATATCTATGTTTATTCTACTCCCTAATTAAAGAAACACCTGTAAAATTAGAAACTAACTGTGTGTGTGACTATTCTCACGAGTATGCCTGTGTGCACTTTCACTTTGCAATAAAAGCTTCTTGCCTTTCGCTTCATTCTGATTCGTCCCTGAATTCTTTCTCTAGATGGTGTCAAGAACCTGGAAACTGGCTGAGGCTGGGGTCTTACTGGCATCTGGAGACCCTCCTGAGCCCTCCGGCAATGCAATGCCATGCACTGAATGGTGCACGGCCATTAGTGTATCCTTTCCATCACAGCCTGTGTTCTCTGACTGCCCCTTTCCTCTCGGACAGGGGTTCTCCATCTTTCTGTGCCATCTCCCCTTTTGCCAATTTTTCTCAAGATATATATATATTTTTTTTCTTTTCTTTTTTTTTTTTTTTGAGACCAAGTCTTGCTCTGTTGCCCAGGCTGGAGTGCAGTGGTGCAATCTCAGCTCACTGCAACCTCTGCCTCCCAGGTTCAAGCAATTCTCTGCCTCAGCCTCCCTAGTAGCTGGGATTACAGGTGCCCACCACCACGCCCAGCTAATTTTTTTGTATTTTGAGTAGAGACAGGGTTTCACCATCTTGGCCAGGCTGATTTTGAACTCCTGACCTCGTGATCCACCCACCTCAGCCTCCCAAAGTGCTGGACTTACAGGCGTGAGCCACTGCACCCAGCCAAGATAATTTTTAAAGCATACAATAAGACTCGTTTTACACAGAGGAAGCCAGTTATTTGGAAACCAGGTCTTTCCAGGTACGCTCATGGTTGATGGGCTATTTGCAGAGAGACCCTCCAAATTCTAAAGTGACTGGGGACCGGGTGCGGTGACTCACGCCTGTAATCCCAGCACTTTGGGAGGCTGAGGCGGTTGGATCACTTGAGGTCAGGTGTTCGAGACCAGCCTGGGCAACATGATGAAACCTCATCTCTACTGAAAAAATACAAGAATTAGCTGGGCGTGGTGGCACGTGCATGTAATCCTAGCCCTCGGGAAGCTGAGGCAGGAGAATCACTTGAACCTGGGAGGCAGAGGTTGTAGTGAGCCGAGATTGTGCCATTGTACTCCAGTCTGGGTGACAGAGCAAGACTCTGTCTCAATAAAATAAAATAAAGTGACTGGGACATTATTAAAGAAGGAGATAATTTATGGTAATGGGACTCTTTGGGTTGGAGCTTCCCCCAATTGCACTTGAAGTTGGTCTTGGCTGTAGGAGAACCTGTGGGTCGTCCTCTGTTGGGGAAACAGGAAATGACCGTGGAAGGACCCACCTGTGGTTCCCTGGACCCCTTTATCATCCCTGGTGTACCGAGCTGATGCCCCTGGCACAGCCTTACTCCCAGGTCGCCTCTCTTGTTGGGCCTTTGTGACCTCCTCCTCTCAGCTGTCCCATGCCCACCTGGTTAGGAACAATCTTTCGACATATTCTGGACAAACTGCCTTAGGCCTTCCCATTGCCTCTGAACTCTGACTTCTTGCAAGACGTTTTCTCCAACTGCTTCATGGCTCTGAGCCCCTCTCCTCCTCTCCCACACCTGGCCTGGACTGGGTTTCCTCTACCTTGTCCACCCCCATCCCTCTCTCTGGTCACAGATGAGGCCAGATCTCATATTCAAATCTTCCCTAGCCTTGCCCAGCTCACATGGATTTTGATTTCCTCATTGATATGGAATGTTTATCTTTTGTATTTTACTTGTCCAAGCTGTCATCATATATATCAAAATATTGATTCTGTATTTCCTTCTCTTGACAGTTTGTTTTCTTCCCTGGGGCCCTCTATATTCGGATAGAGCTTTTTACCCCAGAAGAAGGGAATGTGAATTATATATAGGCTAAAGGAGTCACTTTTCGAGTTTAATTTTCTTTTTTTCTTTTTTTTTTTTTTTGAGATGGCATCTTGCTCTGTAGCACAGGCTGGAGCACAGTGGTGCAATCTCAGCTCACTGCAACCTCCGCCTCCTGGGTCCCAGTTCAAGCAATTCTCCACCTCAGCCTCCCAAGTAGCTGGGATTACAGGCACCTGCCACCATGCCCAGCTAACTTTTGTATTTTTAGTAGAGACGGGGTTTCACTATGTTGGCCAGGCTGGTCTTGAACTCCTGACCTTGTGATCTGCCCGCCTCAGCCTCCCAAAGTGCTGGGATTACAGGCATGAGCCACTGAGCCCAGCATTGAGTTTAATTTTCAAATGGAAGTCAAAGCATCAGAGAAAAAAAAAAGAAAAAAAGAAAAAAAAAAGGTAATGCCGGGTGCGGTGGCTCATGCCTGTAACCCCAGCCCTTTGGGAGGCAGAGGCGGGTGGATCATTTGAGGTCAGGAGTTCAAGACCAGCCTGACCAACATGGTGAAACCTCATCTCTACTAAAACATAAAACATTAGCCAGGCGTGGTGGTGGGCGCCTGTAATCTCAGTGAATTGGGAAGTTGAGGCAGGAGAATCGCTTGAACCCAGGAGGCAGAGGTTGCAGTCGGCTGACATCGTGCCACTGCACTCCAGCTTAGGCGACAGAGTGATACTCCCTCTCAAAAAAAAAAAAAAAAAAAAAAGGTATAGCCTTCAAATTTGGGCTTTCAAGAAAGATGAGATGGTTGGCTCAGAATTCTGAAAACTGAAAATGATTTTCTTCAGGAACCTGGCTTGAAAGATGGATTTTGGAGTAATACAGAACGAATGGCTGAGCTTTGGATGTAAAGGAAGCTCTTGTCCCACAGGAAGAAAAAGCAGGGGCATAGGCAGGTGAGGCTTCATGAGAAGGTCAAGGTGAGAGTTCTGCTGTGTCCTTTGGGGTTGAAACCTGTGCATGGCGGTTGGTGACTCAGTTGAGGAAACTCACTCCCAGAATTCTGGCACCTCACAGCCAGAGGGGCCATGGCCACACCTATGTATATCATGCATATTCAGCAGGGGACGCCTGAACAACCTCAAGGGACAGGGGGCCAGGCCATGCTTGGGATTACCTAGGTCAGAGTGTCAGGAACCATGGCCTCCAGGGAAAACCAAGAGTTTCAGATGAATCCAGTTCTTGGGAGGAGAGCCAATGAGAAAATCAAATTACAAAAAATACCATCTCTGTTGTGCTAGGCAAGAAGGTTACTGCTTGTAAGGCTCTACAGTTTAGACAGTAGGAAAGTTTTCAAGGAGAGGCAGTTTTGGGGTGTCAGTCAGCTGAGGGCAGGCATTCCAGACTTTTGTCTCCAAATCCACCACTGTCTGTCTTCATGCACTGCTCCCCCAGCCTTGATGATGCCATTGAGGGTAATTTCTTTCTTTCTTGTTTAGAGACAGGGTCTGGATCTGTTGCCCAGGCTGGAGTGCAGTGGTGCAATCCAACACATCACAGCCTTGACCTCCTGGGCTCAAGCGATCTTCCTGCCCCAGCCTCTTATGTAACTGGGACTACAGGTGTGCACCACCATGCCTGGCTAATTAAAACAATTTTTTTTTTTTTGTAAAGACTGGGTCTCCTTTTGTTGCCCAGGCTGGTCTTGAACTCCTGGCCTCAAGCAATCCCCCTGCCTTGGACTCCCAAAGTACTGGGCTTACAGGTGTGAGCCACTGCGTCCAGCTTGGTGAAGGTGATTTCTGAGGTTTATCTGTCTCATGTCAGGCAGAAAGGATGGCTTCTGGGGCTGAGACCCCATGCTGCCTCCAGCCCTTGCTTCCCTAGTAAGACTGGGAATCTAGGCTCGCGATTTGCAGAAGCAGACCAGTCAAAATCACAGCGGGACCCAGCCCTGTAAACACACGACAGCAGCCAGCAGGGGACATTAGAGGCCCAGTGCGGACCGAAGACACCACCTGGAACTGGAACCCAGACGCCCCCATAGCTACTGCAGCCCCACTGCCCCCAGGAGCAGGCAGTTGCGACCACTGTCAAGACCACCAGAAGGCATTGTCCACTGCACCTGCCTCTTTGTTTCCCAGACACTTGACCTGATATCCATGGTAGTAGCTTCGACTTGCTGAGCATAAACCCCGTGCACACCTGCTCGTTCTATTGCCAGGGAGGCTGCAAAAGGAGGATGCGGCTATTTCTCCTTTGATCATGGAAGGCTGGGGTTCCACAGGCACCGAAAGGAAGAAGGGAGAGATGGGAATGGGAATGTCCTCCAGACAGCTCTGGCGGGATCGGGTGAGGGAGAGTGAGGGTCCCGCCCCAGGTGGGGACTAACCAGGTCCGTATCCTGGACATGTTGAGAGTTTTTCCAGAAGGCAGGGATGAAGTCTGGTTTGACAACACCCAAGTGATTCCAGAGGGTGTCATAATAGACTGGAAGGGTGACACATCCCAGACACCTGCCACCCATCACACATACCCCCCACCCATTTGCATTCTTCTGCCCCAGGCACCCACAAAGCCTCAGTCCAGAGATCAACTGTCTCAGTTCTGAATTTGTATAACGTGTGTGTAGACTCATTCATCACAACCTCTGCCCAGCCTAGCTTATGTATCATGTGTTTTTTTTTTTTTTTCTCTATTAGGGGAGGAGCCCGTCCTGGCACTCCCATTGGCCTGTAGATTCACCTCCCCTGGGCAGGGCCCCAGGACCCAGGATAATACCTGTGCCTCCTGCCCAGAACCCTCCAAGCAGACACGATGATAAGAATGGTGCCTGTCCTGCTGTCTCTGCTGCTGTTTCTGGGTCCTGCTGTCCCTCAGGAGACCCAAGATGGTGAGTGTGGAAAGCAAGGGATGGGTGCTGGAGGGGACTGGAAGAAGGTGAGGAACAGGACACCTTCCTCACACCTGGCTGGGAGAAGGGCTGGATGCGCTGGGATTCCCTGGCATATGGCAGGAAAGGGTGCCCAAGGCTGTCAACTCAGCTCATACACTTCCACAAGCATTCAGGGAGCCCCTGCCCTCACCTGAAATAAGACCTTCAGGAATCTGAATCTAAAATCCTTAGTTTACAGTGAAAACAAAGACTCCAAAGACCAAGCGACCTGCTTGGGGTCAGACAGCCAGGACGGAGCAGGAACCGTGCGCCTGGAGCTGCTTCTGCTCCTGTTCCTTCCCTCCTTCCGGTGGCTGGGTACACCTGCCTGACGCTGTTGGAAAGAGAGAGTAACCCCAAGGGGAAAGTGGGAAGGCAGGTCGGCTGGAGGGATGGTGCTAGAAGGAAACCCGTGCCCTCAACCCACACTCAGACACAGCTGCAGTAGGTCTGGAAGGCGAGTGGCCAGAAGAGAAGGCAGTGGGAGCTTGGGGAGATCAAGAGTCACTTCTAGGACAGGGGAAGGAGGCTGTTTGTGGCATGAGAATGTGCAGGATAAAGACATGGAAGCAAATGGCTTTTCAGTTGTGTAAGTTTAAAATTGGTGACATTTACAAATTGTCAGAAAAGGTGTTTCATGTTCGTTGTATAACAATCACTTTGGAATGTTAATCCCATTCTGCACCAAAATCTGAATTATTCAAGGTTCTCCAGAGAAACAGAACTAATAGGTTGTACACATATACATATATACGTACATACACATACATACACACGCATACACACACACAAGAAGAGATTTACATTATATGTATGCAAAAGAGAGAGAGAGAGAGTGAGAATAGAGATTTATTTAAGAAATTGACTGACACTATTGGGAGGAGTAACAAGTCCTAAATCTTCAGAGCAGGCCAGCAGGCTGGAGACCCAGGAAAGAGTTGATGTCTTAGTCTTGAGTCTGAGGGCAGATTGTAGGCAGAATTCTTTCTTCTTTAGCAGACCTCCGAGGCTTTTTCTCTTAAGGTCTTCAACTGATTGGATGAGGCCCACCACTATGGAGAATAATCCACTTTACTCAAGGTCTACTGATTTTTTTGTAAATTAAAAAAAATTGTGGGTGCATAGTATGCGTATATATTTATGGGGTACATGAGACATTTTGATTCAGGCATGCAGTGTGAAATAATGACATCATCGAGAATGAGGTATCCATCCCCTCAAGCTTTTATCCTTGGTGTTACAGACAATCCAGTTATACTCTTTTGGTTATTTTATTTTAAAAATTTATTTGATTATTTATTTATTTATTTTTGAGACAGAGTCTCAGTCTGCCGTGCAGGCTGGAGTGCAGTGGCATGATCTTGGCTCACTGCAACCTCTGCCTCCCAGGTTCAAGCTATTCTCCTGCCTCAGCCTCCCAAGTAGCTGGGACTACAGGCACCCACCACCACACCTGGCTAATTTTTTTGTGTTTTTAGTAGAGACGGGTTTCACCATGCTGCCTAGGCTGGTCTTGATCTCCTGACCTCGTGATGTGCCTGCCTTGGTCTCCCTAAGTGCTGGGATTACAGGCATGAGCCACTGTACCGGGCCTCTCTTTTGGTTATTTTAAAGTGTACAATTAAATTACGATTATTATTATTATTATTTTGAGACGGAATCTTGTTCTATCATCCAGGCTGGAGTGCAGTGGCGTGGTCTTGGCTCACTGCAACCTCCGCCTGTTGGGTTCAAGCAATTATCCTGCCTCGGGTGTGCACTGCCACATGGCTAACTTATGTATTTTTAATAGAGATGGGGTTTCACCATGTTGGCCAGACTGGTCTTGACCTCTTGACCTCAAGTGATCCACTCACTTCAGCCTCCCAGAGTGCTGGAATTACAGGCATGAGCCACCGCACCTGGCCCCAATTAAATTATTATTGACTATAGTCACCCTGTTGTGCTATCAAATAGTAGGTCTTACTCATTCTTTTTTTTTTTTTTTTGGTGACAGAGTTGCCCAGGCTGGAATGCCATGGTGCAATCTTGGCTCACTACAACCTCTGCCTCCCGAGTTTAAGCGATTCTCCTGCCTCAGCCTTCTGAGTCGCTGGGACTACAGGCGTTTGCCACCACTCCCGGCTAATTTATGTATTTTTAGTACAGATGGGGTTTCACCATGTTGGCCAGGCTGTTTTCGAACTCCTGACCTCAAGTGACCCATGCGCCTCAGTCTCCCAAAGTGTTGGAATTATAGGCATGAGCCACCACACCTGGCCCCAGCTAAATTATTATTGACTAGAGTCACCTTGTTGTGCTATCAAATAGTTTTCTAACTTTTTTTTTTATACCTATTAACCATCCTCCCAATTTCCCCCCACCCCTGCCACTATTCTTCCCAGCCTTTGGTAACCATCCTTCTACTCTCTATGTCTATGAATTCATTTGTAAGGTCTACTGATTTAAAGGTTAATCACATTTAGAAACTCATGAGCAAGAATAATTTTAGTAATTGAACTAGGATTCTGCCATATGACCTCCAACATTATTAGCACCTGTATAAATTGTATCATAAAATAATTATGGAACTATTATGGAAATGTCCCTCTCTCCCAGATTCCACCTTGTACCAAAATGTAAGGTATAACCCCAGGAATTCTGAGCTCCATCCTAGTCTTATGCTGTGCTAATTCAGTCTGGGTCATTTCTTGAATTTTCCAGTAAATTCTCCTTTCTACCCTTTCTAACTATATGTATTTGTCAGGTTAAGCTAGAAATGTTAATTTGTTTTTTTGAGACGGAATCTCACTCTGTCGTCAAGGCTGGAGCGCAGTGGCATGATCTTTGCTTGCTGCAACCTTTGCCTCTCCAGTTCAAGTGATTTTCCTGCCTCAGCCTCCCACGTAACTAGGATTACAGACCCACACCACCACACCCAGCTAATTTTTGTATTTTTAGTAGAGATGGGGTTTCACCATGTTGGCCAGGCTGGTCTTCAACTCCCGATCTCAAGTAATCCTCCTGCCTTGGCCTCCCAAAGTCCTGGGATTACAGGCATGAGCTATGGAGCCCAGCCTAGAAATGTTAATTTCTAACGCATGTCAGATTCCATGCACATTGGGCAAGGTTCCATTCCTCCATGGGGTGACTCAGGGATCCAGGCTAATTGCATACTGAGACTCTTTCATATTATCCTGTGGCCTTCAAAGTTGTTACCTCAAGAGATGAGAAACAAAAGCGACAAGCCAGCTGGTAGGGTCTTGGACCAGAAGAAAGACATCACTTCTGCTCACATTCTCTTTTGACAAAACTCAGTCACATGGTCCCAATGTATCTTCGAGGAGGCTGAGTAATGTTATCTTCTTATGTGCCAAGCAGGGGAAACAATGTAGTGAAGACACAGGATGGTCTCTGAAATATCATCCTTAGCATGAAAGGAGAGCATATTCATTTGAGAGAGCCTCCAGTGGTGTAAGGTTAATGACAGGAGAAAGAGCTATGGAGGAAGAGGCCAGTGGGCAGGCCTCCCCTCCTAGCCCTGTGCAGCCCCACAGTGGGACCCTTGCATGAACCTCAACTGTCTTTTCTTTTGCAGGTCGTTACTCTCTGACCTATATCTACACTGGGCTGTCCAAGCTTGTTGAAGACATCCCCCAGTTTCAGGCCCTTGGCTCACTCAATGACCTCCAGTTCTTTAGATACAACAGTAAAGACAGGAAATCTCAGCCTGTGGGACTCTGGAGACAGGTGGAAGGAATGGAAGATTGGAAGCAGGACAGCCAACTTCAGAAGGCCAGGGAGGACATCTTTATGGAGACCCTGAATGACATCGTGGAGTATTACAACGACAGTAATGGTCAGTAAACAACAAACCACGGGGGAGGAAGGTCTAACCCAAGAGGCAGCCCCCCAAGTGTGAGTGGCAAGGGGTTAGCAGGATGGAAATAGTCCCAATCCCAGAGAAGGAACAGAAGACACAGCAGAAATGCAGACATGTCCACATCCCGCCCACACCACAGCACAGGTGCTCCCCACTTTCCCATTGATTGCCCCATCCTCATCCCAGGCCTCAGCTCACACAGGAAGTGATGGCAGAGTCACTTCCTATCCAGGCACCTCTGACCTCTCACCTCCACAACTTATGCATCAGAGGCTGATCCCCCCGTGAGAAGGCATCAGACTCACCCCTGTCCAGGGAGGTTGCCTGGAGAGTGAGCCACTCTCAAAGTCACTCAGACCTGGGCTCACCTGGTGGCTCTGCCAGTCCCAGCTGTTGACAATGAAACGTTCCCAAAATATCTGGTCGAAATCTGCAAACATTGGAGCACTGAGACCTACCTCCAAACAAGTTTGTAATATTTAACTATGTCTATTCTGTGAAGGATGTCACAGTCTGTCCTAATCTCCCTTGCAGCTGCATTGCCTAGGACAGGGTGCAGCCAATATTGGCTCAATTGAAATTTGTGGAAAGAACAGAGAAAAGCACCCGGCACAGACTGTAGCCTATGCTGAGGGCTCAGGAAGTGCTGGATTCAAAACCACGGGCTGTTAGTTTCCTGCAGCCCTAAAGTTTCTCCTCACCGTAAGATGCAGACCCAGGAAGGGCCACCTGCACTGTGGTTGGAGGAGCTGGTGGCAGAGCCCGCGCAGAGATGGTCCCTGTGCCCCCGGCCCAGCACTTTTTCTGCTAAACCACACTGCCAGCCCCAAGGCAGCCAACCTCTGGCCTGGTGAACTGCTGGTGTTAAATTATCATAGAGTGGGTGTCAAAAGGTGGGCTTCTAAGTACAAAAATGCCCAAGGTGCTACATGGGATCTGAAGGTTTCCAAAAGGAGGCAAGAAAGAGATAGGCAGACGTTTGAAGGATGTGGGGTGGGAGGTCTTGGTAAGGAAAATGGCCCGGGCTGTGTGTCAGCAATAGGAGAGGAGGGGGCACAGGTGACCAGAAAAGACACTGGGAGAAGCTTTGATGGACAGGAATAGAAATGGCAAAGTGGATAATTACGAGGAAGGAGGATGAAGAGATGAATACAAGGTATTAGAAAATAATATTAGGCAGGGCTCAGTGCCTCACACCTGTAATCCCAGCACTTTGGGAGGCTGAGACAGGTAGATCACCTGAGGTCAGGAGTTCGAGACCACCCTGGCCAACATGGTGATACCCCATCTCTACTAATAATACAAAAATAGCCCGGCATGGTGGCGCACATCTGTGGTCCCAGCTACTCAGGAGGCTGAGGCAGGAGAATTGCTTGAACCCGGGAGGCAGAGGTTACAGTGAGCTGAAATCCTACCATTGCACTCCAGCCGGGATGACAAGAACGAAATGTCGTCTAAAAACAAAAAACAAAAAAAGGAAATAGGAGTAACTGACATTTACTGAGCACTTACTTTGTGCCAGGCCCATCTATGAGCATATATAATGCTCAGAATAGTCCCCTGAAACAGTGCTCTTGCCATTGCCGTTTCAGAGGTGAGGAAATAGAGGCCCAGGGAGGTGACTGGCTCTGGTTCAGGCAGCACACCAGGTGGGGGCGGGGAGAGACCTGGGTCGTGAGCCCAGACAGCTTGAGAGCTGTCAGTGTCTGTGCCAACAGCACTAACCAGTCTGGGTAAACACCTGCTTTTAAAATCAGAATGAAGAGGCTGTGTCCCCCACCCTAAGGAGATACATTTCTGAGAGTTGTGGCTAATGGGCAAGAAGGTTGGGACTTTAGAGATTTGGAATACAGATATCAAACACCGTCTCCACTAAAAAATACAAAAAACTAGCCAAGCCAGGTGGCGGGTGCCTGTAGTCCCAGCTACTCGGGAGGCTGAGGCAGGAGAATGGTGTGAACCTGGGAGGCGGAGCTTGCAGTGAGCTGAGATCCGGCCACTGCACTCCAGCCTGGGTGACAGAGCGAGACTCCGTCTCAAAAAAAAAAAAAAAAAAAAAAAAGATATCAAACACCAGAAAGGAAGAAAGAAGTGATCAGATTAGGGTTACTTAGGTGATGATATGAACTCTTCCTAGAACTGAGAGAAAAGGAGAGTCTTCCTTTCTCATATGAAATCACAAATAATTTCTAGCCAATTTGGAAGTACACTTTGGTGTGGTTGTGACAGCTTCCTCAGGACTCAGCATAAATTAAAACAAATAATTCTCCTTAGAAGAGATGCTGTAGAAGAGATAGAAATCTATCTATATTCTGTAGCTCTTTTTTTTTTTTTTTTTGAGACGGAGTTTTGCTCTTGTTGCCCAGGTTGAAGTGCAATGACGCGATCTTGGCTCACTGCAACCTTTGCCTCCTGGGTTCAAGCGATTCTCCTGCCTCAGCCTCCTGAGTAACTGGGACTACAGGCTACAGGCATGTGTCACTACAGGCATGTGTCACTACGCCTGGTTAATTTTGTCTTTTTTTTTTTTTTTGAGACAGAGTCTTGTTCTGTCATTCAGGCTGATGTACAATGGCACCATCTCAACTCATTACAACTTCTGTCCCACAGGTTCAAGTGATTCTCCTGCCTCAGCCTCCTGAGTAGCTGGGATTACAGGTGTGTGCCAGCACACCCAGCACATTTTTGTATTTTTAGTAGAGGCGAGGTCTTACCATGTTGGCCAGGCTGGTCTCAAACTCCTGACCTCAGGTGATCCTCTGGCCTCAGCCTCTCGAAGTGCTGGGATTACAGGTGTGAGCCACTGCACCCAGCCTAATTTTATATTTTTAGTAGAGATGGGGTTTCACCATGTTGATGGGGCTGGTCTCGAACTCATGACCTAAGGTGATCTGTCCTCCTCGGCCTCTCAAAGTGCTGGGATTACAAGTGTGAGCCACTGAGCCCAGTGGTTTTTTTTTTTTTTTTTTGAGATAGGGTCTCACTCTGTCACCCAGGCTGAAATGCAGTAGTGTGATTTTTGACTCATTGCAGCCTTGACTTCCCAGGTTGACGTGATCCTCCCACCTCAGCCTCCTGAGTAGCTGGGGCTACAGGCATTGCACCACCATGCTGCGCTAATTTTAAAATTTTTTTAGTGGTGGAATTTTGCCATGTCACTCCGGCTGGTCTTGAACTCCTGGGCTCAAGCGATCCACTCGCTTCAGCTTCTCAAAGTGCTGGGATTACAGGCATGAGCCACAGCACCCAGCCTGTAGTTCTCTTAAGCAGGAACATACCTCATCTGAGACAAACCTGAAATGCCAAACCAAACTGAGTTAGCCCCTCTCTGTCTGCTGTATATATTGGAATAATAACCTATTTGTCTTGATAAAGGGATTGCATGCTTGAATTGCAAAAACCTTTATTTCTTTTGGGATGCCCAGTGTGCAGGACTAAGAGTTATTTCGATAAATTTCGCACCAGGCTGACTGTCTCTCTGTGGGGTCGGGGGAGTTTTCAGGGTCTCACAACTTGCATGGAAGGTTCGGTTGTGAGATTGAGAATAACAGAAGCAGTGGATCATTCTGGAAGTATTACTACGATGGAAAGGACTACATCGAATTCAACAAAGAAATCCCAGCCTGGGTCGCCTTGGACCCAGCAGCCCAGAACACCAAGCAGAAGTGGGAGGCAGAACCAGTCTACGTGCAGCGGGCCAAGGCATACCTGGAGGAGGAGTGCCCTGAGACTCTGCGGAAATACCTGAAATACAGCAAAAATATCCTGGACCGGCAAGGTACTCACTGCTTCCTGCTCCCCAGTACTGAGCCCAGAATAAAAGATGATCTCAGGCTAGGAGCTCAGGCAACATCTTAGTCCGGTCTCATTTGTTCCTGGATGTCCCTCAGGCCCCCAGCTTTCATCTTTTAGGATTCATTCCTTCTCTGGGATGATGTAATTTGTGGTCCAAAAAGAACATCTCAAAATTTCACTCAGAATGGGCCAGGAAGGCTATTCTTTCTTGATGGGTGTCCTCAAATCATCTCCAATTGACAGACAAGGAGCTTGAGATCAGAGAGGTGAGGTTAACACTGTAAGATGCAGAGCTGGGACTCAAATTCCAGATTTCAGATTCCAAATCCCATCGTTGTTTCTCTCTACAATGATGCCTCCCAAATGGGTGGTGGAGAGAAGGGAGGTGTGTAAAATGTCAGCCCCGGAAGGACAAGAGCGAGCCAGTGTGAGCGGGACTGATGGCTGCAAGCTGAGACTTGGATTGGAGACGTAGTGAGACTCAGGATTGTGCAGTGCTGCAGGGAAGCGGTTGCTGGATAGAGGCATGGGCTGAACCGTGCAGCTGGACTGAGACTGGGGGAGAGGAGAACTCCAAAGCCCACTGAGAAGTGGGAAAACGTGGAGAAGTGCACGGAGCATTCACAACTTATTGCCGTCAGAGTCAATACATGGGTGGGGGGGGACTGGGCAAGAGGGAAAGCGTCAGCCTTCCCTGATATTCTGGAACGTGTCCTGGGGCCGGGGGTGGGGTGGGCAGGAACAGAGCTTAGAGCTCCGCTGATCGCTGACAGCCAAGGGTGGGGGTGGGAAGAGACCTGGGCCAGGAGAAGTCGACCTCAAGCCTGCGGTGTCACGCTCTCTCCCTCCACAGATCCTCCCTCTGTGGTGGTCACCAGCCACCAGGCCCCAGGGGAAAAGAAGAAACTCAAGTGCCTGGCCTACGACTTCTACCCAGGGAAAATTGATGTGCACTGGACTCGGGATGGCAAGGTGCAGGAGCCTGAGCTACGGGGAGAGGTTCTTCACAATGAAAATGGCACTTACCAGTCCTGGGTGGTGGTGGCTGTGCCCCCGCAGGACACAGCCCCCTCCTCCTGCTATGTGCAGCACAGCAGCCTGGCCCAGCCCCTGGTGGTGCCTGGGGAGGCCAGGTAGGAAGCAAGAGCTGGAGGCAATGTGGGATCTCAGCCCCAGTAGCTGCCCTTCCTGCCTGATGTGGGAGCTGAACCACAGAAATCACCGTCAATGGATCCACAGGCCTGAGGAGCAGCGTGGGGAGACAGACAGGAGGTGGATTTGGAGACCGAAGACTGGGATGCCTGTCCTGAGCTGACCTGGACCCAAAAAATCATCTCACCTTGAGCCCACCCCCACCCCATTGTCTAATCTGTAGAAGTTAATAAATAATCATCCCTCCTTGCCTAACATAACAGAGAATGCTATTTTTAACGGTGATGTGCTGTAGAAATGTGACTAGATTTTCTCATTGGTTCTGCCCTCAAGCACTGGGTTCATCTGAAACTCTTGGTTTCCCCTGGAGGCCATGGTTCCTGGGCACTTTGACCTGGGCAATCCCAAGTGTGGTCTGAACCCCCTTTCCCTTGGGGACTGTTCAGGCGTCCTGTGCTGACGTACATAGGTGTGGCCATGGCCTCTCTGGCTGTGAGGCGCTAGAACTCTTCAAGCTTTCACACAAACCCAAACCTCTTCTGTGCCTCAGTTTCCCCATACTCCTTGGCTTCCTGGGAGACCCCTCCACGTCAGCTATTGCATATTTCCACACAATGTTGGTCTTGGTCCAAATAGCCAGAGCTTATTTGAAACCTCTCAGCTCCCCAGGGCACAGCTCAAAGAAGCAGGAATTGGCCCTGAGGTTCTCAGACTCCTTCCGAGTAGAGTCCCTGGGAGTGAGTTTCCTTAACTGAGTCACCAACTGTCATGCACAGGTTTCAACCCCAAAAGACACAGCAGAGCTCTCACCCTGACCTTCTCATGAAGTCTCACCCGCCTGTGTCTGTGCTTTTCCTTCCTGTGTGACAAGAACTTCCTTTATGTCCTATGCTCAGCCTCCCACTCTATATTATTCCAAAATTCATCCTCCAAGCTGAGGTCCTTAACAGAGTCATTCCCAGCCTGCAGAATTCTGGGTTAATCATCTTATCTTTCAGGAAAGCCCAAATTTGGAGGTTAAATTTTTTTTTTTTTTTTGAGGCAGAGTCTTGCTCTGTCGCCCAGGCTGGAGTGCAGTGGCGTGATCTCCACTCACTGCAAGCTCCACCTCCTGGGTTCACACCATTCTCCTGGCTCAGCCTCCCGAGTAGGTGGGACCACAGGAGTCCGCCACCACCCCCGGCTAATTTTTTGTATTTTTAGTAGAGACGGGGTTTCACTGTGTTAGCCAGGATGGTCTCGATCTCCTGACCTCGTGATCTGCCCGCCTCGGCCTCCCAGAGTGCTGGGATTACAGGTGTGAGCCACCGCACCCAGGCAATTTTTGTATTTTTAGTGGAGATGGGGTTTTACCTTGTTGACCAGGCTGGTATCGAACTCCTGACCTCAAGTTATCCTCCCATCTCGGCCTCCCAAGGTGCTGGGATGACAGGTGTGAGCCACCATGCCCAACTCTTTTAATAACATTTAGTGCCAAATATTACCAACAATATTACGGGGGTTTCCATCCCCTGCGATATTGGGAGTAATATCATCTTCTCCTCCCCTAAATCTTAAAAACAGTATCACAGGGGAATGTACACCCTGTCTGATACTGGGAGTAATATCATCTTCTCTTCCGGTGGATATTGGGAGTAATATCATCCTTTCCCTCCCTGGATGTTACAAACGATATCACAAGGGGGTGTACATCCTCTGCGATATTGAGAGTAATACCATCCTCACCCCCTCTGGATATTACGAACAATAGCACAGGGGGGCTGTACACTCCCTGCGGTATTGGGAGTAATGTCATCCTCTCCATTCCTCAATATTAGGAACAGTATCACAGGGTGGGTGTACACCCCTTGCGATATTGGGAGCAATATCATCGTCTCTGCCCCTGGATATTAAGAACAGTATTACAGAATGGGTGTAACCTCCTTCAACTTCAGGAGTAATATCATTCTCTCTGCCCCTGGATATTAAAAACAATATCAAAGTTGCCGTGTACAACCCCTGTGATATTAGGGTAATATCATCCTCTCCTCCCCCGGGTATTAGGAACAGTGTCAGAGGGGAGTGTACACCCCCTGTGATATTGGGAGAAATATCATCCTCTTCCCAACTGGATATTAGGAATAATATCACAGTGGGGGGAGGGTGTACAACTTTGATGATATTGGGAGTAACATCATCCTTCCCCACGCTGGATATTAGGAACAGTATCACTCTGGAGTGTAAACTTGCAGCGATATTGGGAATAATATCATCCTCTCTCAGTCTAAATATTAGGAACAATATCACAGTGGGGGTGCACAAACCCTGCCAGGTTGAGAGTCATATCGTCCTCTCCTGCTTTGAATATTAGGAACAATATCACGAGGGGATGTACACAACCTGAAATTTTGGGAGTAGTATCATTTTCTTCCCTCCTGGATATTAGAAAAAAATATTACAGACAGGAATACACCTTCTGCGATATTGGGAGCAATATCATCCTCATTTCCCCTGGATATTAGGAACAATATCACAGTGGGGGGTGGACACCTCTGTGACATTGGGAGTAACATTATCCTCTGCCCCGCTGGATATTAGAAAAAATATAACAGAGGAAGTGTACACCCCCTGCTATATTGGAAGTGATAACATCCTCTTTCCCCATGGATGTCAGAAACAGTATCACTGCGGGGGCGTGTGTACATCCCCTGCGACATTGGGAGTAATATCATGCTCTCCCCTTCTCGGTATTAGGAACAATATCAAAAGGAAGTGTGTACACCCTTTGTGATATTGGGAGTCATATCATCCTTTTTGCCCCTGTATATTAGGAACAATATCACGGGGGGGTGTACACAATATCATGGGGGGGTGTACACACCCTGTGATATGGGAAGTAATATTATCCTCTCCCCCTCTGGATATTACAAACAGTATCACAGGGGGGGTGTTCACCCCCTGCGATATTGGAAGTAATATCATCCTATCCCCCCTGGATATTAGGAAGAATATCACAGGGAGTGTACACCGCCTGCGATATTGGAAGTAGTATCATACCCTCCCACCCTTGATTTTACGAACAGTATCACAGGGTTGTGTACACCCCCTGCGATATTGGGTGTAATATATCCTCTCCCCCCCTGGATATTATGAACAAAATCACAGGGGAGTGTACACACAGGATGTTTACGATATTGAAATTAATGTTATCCTCTCCCCGCTGGATATTTTGAACAATATCACAGGGGGGTGTACACCTCCTGCGATATTTGGATTAATGTCATCCTCTCCTCCCCTGGATATTACAAACGATATTACAGAGGGGTGTGCACATCCTGCGATATGGGAAGTAATATCATCCTCTCCCTTTCTGGATACTACGAACAATATCACAGAGAGGCGATAGCATCCTCTTCACCCCCCCTGGATATTACGAACAATATCACAAGGGAATGTATACCTTGTTGCGATATGTGGAATAATATCATCCTCTCCCCTTCTGGATGTTTCGAACAATATTACAAGGGGGGTGTACACCCCCTGCCATATGGGGAGTAATGTCATCTTCTCCCTCCCCCGGATATTACGAACAATATCACAGGAGGATGTATTCCCACCGCAATTTGGGGAGTAATACCTTCCTTTCCCTTCCTGAATATTACGGACAATATCCCAGGGGTGTGTGCACCCTCTGTGATGTGGGGAGTAATGTCATTTTTTCCCCTTCTGGATATTACAAACAATATCATAGAGGGGTTACACACCCTGCGAAATGGGAAGTAATATTATCCTCTCTCTCTCTGGATATTACAAATAATATCACAGAAGGGCGTACACCCCATGCTATGTAAGGAGTAATATCATCCTCTCTTCCATTAAATATTATGAACAGTATCACAGGGGGGTGTACACCTCCTGCAATATGGGGATCAATATCATCTCTCCCCCTGGATATTACAAACAACATCACAAGAGGGTGTTACAGGGTGCGATACGGGGAGTAATATTACCTTCCTCCTCCCCTGGATATCACAAATAGTATCACAGGGAAGGGTACACCCCCTGCGATATGGGAAGTAATATTATCCCCTCCCCACAGGATATTACAAATAATATCACAGGAGCCTGTACCCCCTTTGTGATATGGAAAGTAATATTATCTTCTCCCTTTCTGGATATTACGATAATATCACAGAGGGATGTACACCTTCTGTAACATGGGGAGTAATATCATCCTCTTTTCTCCTGGATATAATGAACAATATCAAGGGGAGTCTACACACTTTGCGATATGAGGAGTAATATTATTTCACCCTCTCCTGGATATTACGAACACTATCATAGTCGGGTGTACACCCCCTGTGATATAAGCAGTTTTATCATCCTCTCTCCCCCTGGATATTATGAACAATATCAAAGGGGATGTACATCCCCTGCGATATTGGGAGTAAAATCGTTCTCTCCCCTCCTGGATATTACTAACAATATCACAGACGGTGTACACACAGGGTGTTTACCATATTGGGAATAATATCATCTCCCTTCCTGGAGATTACGAACAAAATCACAAGGGGGTGTAGACTCCTTGCGATATTGGGAGTAATATCATCTCCTCGCTCCTGGATATCATGAACAATATCGCAGGGGATGTACACCCCCTGAGATATTGGGAGTAATATTATCCTTTTCCCTCCTGGATATTACGAACAATATTAAAGAAGAGTGTACACCCTCTGCGATATTGGGAGCAATATCACCCTCTCCCTTTCTGAATATATTGAACAATATCACAGAGAATAACATCATCCTCTTCCCTCCTGGATATTATGAATAATATCACAGGAAGGTGTACAGTCCTTGCAATATGGGATATGGGGAGTAATATCCTCTTTCCCCTGGATATTACCAACAATATCACAGGGGGTTTACCCCATCTGCGATATAAGACGTAATGTCATCCTCTCCCTTCCAGGATATTATGAACAATATCACAGGGGGGTGTGCCTCCTCTGCCATATAAGGAGTAGTGTCATCCTCTCATTCCCTGGATACTAGAAACAATATCACAGGGGATGTACATACCTTGCGATATGGGGAGTAATATTATCCTCTCCCCTCCCCCGAATATTATGAACTTTATCATGGGAGGGGGGTGTGTACACCCTCTGCCATATGGGAAATAATATCGTCCTGACCCTCATTGGATATATTGGAGAATATGACATGTGGGTGTGCACGTCCTGCAATATGGGCAGTAATGTCATCCTCTACCCTTCTGGAT